GCAAAATCCAAAAAGAGCAAAAAATTTAATTTTTGGCAGGTTTGGTCGAATTTAAAAGTTTTCTTTCAAAATTTCTAGTGATCTATTTAGTTCGATATTCTTAACTACTTTTCTTTCGAAAATTACCAAGCATAAAAACATCATTCATGCTTCACAAAGTTAGGCTTTCTTTTAGAAAATTTTTCACAATTTGGCTTTGCAAAATATACATCTGTGTAAGAGTTGACTTATTTGCATAAATAAATGTTTAGTAAATTTGAAATGCTTTTCTATACATAAAAAAGCACCAAAACATGAATGATTAGGGAGATTTTCTTTATATGAAGACTTTCAAGAGTAAAGTTTCGCATGAAATGTAGTTTTGGGTCTAAAAACCCAATGACGTTTCTCTCCTTTCCATGATGTGCTTGGAAAGCGTCTGAAAAATTGTTTAATAAATGAAAAGCTGTTAGAGCAATCCCTTGCGGGATTAAAAATGTGAAATACGATGGATCTATTGTTACGAATTAAATGGACAACGTTTTCTTCCATTTGTTTATGATAGATTTCTAGCTGATCGTTTATTTGATGCTTTAAATCTACAGTGTCTTTGTCACAGTTTGTGAGAGACTTTGGCAGTTCTCTGTCACGGTCTGCGATGGTCTCTGAGGATTTTCTGTGACGATCTGTGATGGTCTTTGGGGGTTTTCTGTCACGGCCTGTGATGAGTATTGGAATTTCTCTATCACGGTCTGTGGGGGAGGGAGGGTCCAAATTTCTATCTCTAAACACTTCAACACTCTCTTTTAGATCGTGTTTCACAAAATGATAGTTTATCCCACTGAAAGTTTAACTCTAATACTGATATATAGAGAAATTTGTGTAGAATTTATTGATCTGTTCTACACAAATTTCTCTACATATCAGTTTTAGAGTTAAACTTTTAGATTGAGTCTAAGTTGAACAAAAAAATGTCCATTAGAAGCCAGAAATGTCTTCTAGTACATCAGTTATCTTCAATTAAAGAAGAAAAACTTACCATGACCAACCTATTTGAATAGCTGTATGAAAAAATTGATAAAGTGTATTTTGTGTTATTGATATATTCATTGTTCCACGTTGTAAAAGAATACCAACACCCATTGGAAA